TCATTAGGGCCCCAAGCTTAAAAACATACTAAAAAATTGTTACTACCCCACCTTTTGTATTCAAAAAACCCCCACGTACTGGACTATAAATATTTTAGACAATTTTAGCTTGATGCTTCTAGATTTTCAATATGAAATATCTTTCGCAAAATAAGAGCCTGTCATTTCAACGACAAAAGCACTCCTAACACTAAAAGCGCATTCAGTCAGATACTCAAGCTAAGAGTACCTTCAACGAAACAACGTTACACAGTTAAAAGGCTACCGTTTGGTGCTCTATAGATACTTTGCAGCTAGCGAATTTTTACTTATCCGTGGTTTTCCCGGTACAATTTTCACTTTGTTACAGTTTTTTTTTGCAAACTGCTGTAACAAATGTACAACCGCATAAATTTATTTAAAAAGAGTTTTCCAAAGTAAAATAAATGTTTTTGTTTACAGATGTACAAGGACATTATCTTTCGTATTCTTTTGTGCAAAAGTGATGTTTAAATATTGATTTATGAAAAAAATGTATTCTTCATGATATTTTTTGCTTGATTTGAAAGTACCAAAAACGTTTCGATTGTTTGTGGATTGATAGCAATACGCTATCTTGATTATAATGTAGAATGATAACTTTCAATTAAAAAAATTAAATTTATTATTTTTCCAGATTTCTATAAATAAATTTTAGATTATCGAAACGTTATTGGTACTTTCAAATCAATGTCATGAAGAATAAATTTTTTTCATATATCAATATTTAAAAAAAAAATTCCCTCTTGTATACCCCATCGCTTTACACACTGTATATGACTAATTTTTACAAAATTAGTGTTAAGAAATATTATTTTACGTAAAGGAAGCTACTTCAACAAAGGAATTTCGCAGTGAAGTAATAAATTCTGGCGAATATACATTATTCCCGTAGACAGCTGTGTCAGACATTCTTCATTAAAGTAACATTCAGACGTAGGGGCTCTATGGAATAGTATAGAAAATAATCCTTGCAAAAAAGCTCGACTAAAGGTAATAAGGATAATTTAGGGAGCTGTCATGTCAGATACGTAAAAATGCATCTATAATTCACTCATTTCAGGCTTACTTTTTCTAAAAATGACACATTCTGTGTAGTGTATCGCGTTTATGGCGGAGTTAAAGCTGAACTCTGCTTGTGTAAATGTTGTAGCAAGGAATAATGAATCCCTTCAGAACGAAAAAGTGTCGGAAACTGCTTTGTGTTCAGAAGTTTTTCCAATTGATGTATAGAATATCTTAATCTAAAAGTTCGAGAATTTCATATTTTACTTTACACGAAGAGAGTTCGTTGCATTATTTTTCCATACCGACAATGTACGCCCTACGCGAACCAATGCGGAAATGTGAAAACTTTTTTAATAATGTGAGAACTCCGGGAATAATTAACGTCTTCCGCAGTAATATCTTTTAATTCGAATAAGATTTTCAAAAAAGCATTAGAATATACTTAAAACGTTTCCCTTGGCAAGTGGGTCAATTTGAGGATTACTTATAAAGGCGCAGTGCTTCCGCAAATTCGGTTCAAAAATACGTGAATTTAAATGCAGAAATTTGCGAGAAAACTTAAATATTGAAGCGCTTAAATATCAAAATAAAGCTTCTTTTCCTCATTACGGATGTTCGCGCTCAATTAAACTTTAGCCTCAAAATGTTAATTAAAGCTATAAAATTTATACTGGAGTGCGAAAACAGGAACCCCCTTTCGTGATAATCTCTCATTTACTTAATTCTAAGTGAGTTGTTGGTGCAACTCGGCACAGTATTTTGGTATCTTCATTTATATATTCTTACCTTTTATTTTCTTGTCGAGTGCAATATTTTATTTGGATTGGCATGTTTTCCGTTTATTTTTCATATTTTACCAAACAAATAAATCGTGTCGTAGTGGGTGTTTACACAAAATGATTACTGTCACTTTAAGATGAGACTTCCATTTTATTTACATGCTTTGTAAAAGTAAATATACACGGTGTTCAGAAAGAGTAGGAGATTATGATAATTGAATAAAACAAAAAATCGTCCCCTTCAGGAGAAAATCGCTTAACTCCTTATGGCTAAATTTTACAGGAGAAGCAAAAAATTCTATCAAAACGAAATTTTGGAACATTTAACGTACTAAATATTTTATTTTGGCACTATAAATGAAATTTTATCAGACAAGATCAATTTTAAATATTCTAAGAAATTAATGCATGGCGGGAGTTACGCATTTTTCTGATCGTTGGTAACATGGACACCATATTCCAAAATACCGGTTAACTTTATTGAAAGTTGTGGCATTAATTTAAATACATTTATATTAACAACAAATTTGAATTTATCAATATATTTTCAAGAAACAAATCAGACATACTTTAATACGAGTATCTAAAATAAGTAATCTTATTGGTAGGGAAGGTGATCATATAATTCGTGAAAATCTTGTAATAAACTCTTCTTTAAAATTTGAAGGTGTTCATACTTGTCTTTCTTTAGTTTTCGTCTTTCTGAATACATGTTGTCTAAACCTTCCATTGTCCGAGGTTCCGCCAATGTAAGTCTTTGACTTAGTGCTCCCCAGGGATCAGTGTGTCTTAACTTAAATAAAATTTTCCCGGTGCTCTCATATTTAAAAGCCCGAATTTTTGTAACTGTATCTCTTCCAGGTCGAATTGATTTATAATATTTGAGATTATCAAAGTATGCGTAAGGTATTGCACCTCATATGGTTTTGGTTTCGATCTAGCGAGTCTGCAAACATGAACATTATCCGCTGGGACATTTATTTTTCTATTTCTAATTTTCTTTTCGATGCAGGAATGCATAGAATCAACTTCCATCTGTGTAGGGCCCTTTTCAAGAAACTTTTGAATGATAATATTATGGAGCATACAAACGTTAACAAACGCGTTTGCTAGAATGGAGTTCCTGTTTTGTGCAGTGCGTTCATCGCTGTAAAATATTACTTCTTTATTATCTCCTGGTAAAGACGGGATTATTTTGTTTTCCAAAAATTGGACCGAAATTGATGCGAACTCGTTTGATGTTAGGACACCTTCCACTTCGTGCCAAAGAAAACAGTAACCTTCCTGTGTTTTTAAATTGAAGAGTGTAAAATTGTGCATCACTACTCACTAGTTTGGTTTTACATCGCGCTTACAGTTGATTTTGGACACAGAAGTACGGCCTGTAAGTCCATTGTAAAAACTGCCGAAGTTGAAGCAGATTGTTTGTCCTTTTCTTTTTCTTCCCGAGCTTCTTTTTTCATAGCCTGGTGTAAGTTATACTCTTCTTCGCTAAGATTTTTGGTGTCATATGCTACGAAGATGTCGCATAAATCTTTTTTAGGGATGTACAGAGATAAATTTTGTTTACTGAACTCTTTGAAAAAAACAGTCTAGACACAGGTGAAATCTCATTATCAGCGCAAAAACTGTTTTTATAAAACTTATACAATTCATTGATTGAGGACCATGTTGGCTCCAGTTACAATTTGCTAGTGGAAGCTCGATAATAATGTGACCATTTTAGGGAGTAAATCGAAAAATTCTTTTAATTTATTATTTAAACCTTCATACATCCTAACTTCTTTTCTTTTATCTTTAGACTTACGTTCTGCTTCTTATAATTTGTCTACTTTTACCCAATTTAAAACTGTAGATTCTTTCATGGCTAACGTGCAGACTCTAATTTACGCATTATTTATTTTTAAGTGATATTTAAACGAAAGGTTTCTCTTACTGGTTTCTCCAGTGCCTCTTCTTATTTGTACCATTTGAACTTTGACTAAATTTTGAATATAAATTTTTCTTTCATTCCAGTTCATATGCTTCCAAAACCGTTTAAAAAGTTTTTCTCAATCTTCCCCGCTCACTTTGTCACATTCAATTTTTTTGGAATTATTTTAAATTTTACAAAGGTATGGGTTTGCAAGTCTTTTTTCATCTCTAGGAATGTTATAATCCCATTTTCCTTCAGAGTTTTTTTTCCTTGAGTATTGCAGTCCTTTCTCTCTGTTTTCTTTATTTTTGATTTTAGACCATGCAGAGATATCAACATTGCCACTGTTGGCTCTTTTTCTTAGTGGTAAAATATTTTCAAGCTGTTCTCCAAAATTACTATTAGACACAGAGTACTATATACTTACTTATTCAATCGTTTCTTCACTTCTAAAGCCGGGGATCCACCAAACGCGCAAAACGTTTGCAAACGTTCGCAAACCTTTGCAACTGTTTGCGAACGTATGTATTCCTCCGGTGGAGCCAGACTGGCGCGCACGTTCGTGCGCGTAGTTGTTCCGGGAGATGTCGGTAGATCAAAAGGAATTCGTTGCGAATGCGCGTGTAGTGGAGTCAGATGTTTTAGTTCGCAAGCAGCAACGTTTGTCCTTTTAGTTAGTTTTCATCTATTTGTGCGATAAAATGGAGTGGGAGCAAGAAAAATGTTTACAATTAATTGCCGCGTATGGCTTGTATCCTGAATTGTGGCAAGCGACTCACAAGTACTATTATAATAAATTAAAAAAGAATGATGCATGGTGTGAAATAGCGAAACAACTAGAGAGTAATGTAGAAATTATTAAGGCAAAACTAAACTCTCTTCTGGCGTCATTTCGGCGAGAAAAAGCTAGACAGGAGAGTACTACGGGGACTGGAAAAGGTAATGTTCTTTACCATTTATTAATGCGATGGTAAAAACATATTTTTTCAGGGCGAAATGAGATTTATAGGAGTAAGTGGTTTGGATTCGAACCAATTTTTAATGGACAAGAGTAAATGCAGGAAGTCCCTAAACACCTCTCAAAATAAAAGTAAAATTGTGGAGGGCACACCTGCGGAGGAAACGGAGGTAGAAACCATTTTTTTTTATAAATATGTTTTTATTGTACTGCAAACGCATTGGGAATGTCGTTTCCGGCTGTCTACCGCTATATTATTTTTGAAAACTTTTACCACTTTTTATTAACAAAAATATTAACAAACTCAAGCGTATTCATTTTGCTACGGAACGGATCCAGTCGTGGAAAAAAATCTAGAAAATTCGTTTCTAATTTCCTGGGCATGACGTGATGGCCTTCTTGGCACTTTTCTCAAAGGAGCTAAAGAGGTCATTTCACTGTCACTCCTCCATTTTCCAAATATCATCTGGCCGTTGACTTCTGTGTCTAACCAGTTCTCCGGACAATATAGCTGTTTAGATGTGTTACTGTTCCGCAAGAAGTTATGCAAATAAATGCAAGCTATTACAACTAATTGTGCTCTTTCGGCTGTTAAAAGTAGTGGCTTCCGTAAAACTCTAAAAACACTCGAACAAATACCAAACGCATTCTCTACCACTCTTCGAGCCCGGCTTAAACGATAATTGAATATCCTTTCTTTAGAACCCTTTTCGTAGAACCCCGAATAAGGTTTCATCAAATTCTCACTTAAAGCAAAAGCTTCATCTCCCAAAATTACAAATGGTAATTGCGTTTTATCATTTGATAGTGTTTTTGGAGGTGGTAAATTTAATTCCCCGTTGCACAGATCTTCATAAAGTTTAGTATTCTTAAAGACGCCCCCGTCAGAGATCCTACCTTGACATCCAACATCCGCAAACATGAACTTGTAGTTCGCATCCACCATTGCGAATAAGACGATGCTAAAGAAGGATTTATAATTGTAGTAATCACTACCGCTAGCCGCAGGACATTGCATAAGCACATGCTTCCCGTCGATGGCTCCAATTGCATGTGGAAAGTTCCATTGTTCTTCGAATTCTGTAGCCACTTGGAACCATTCCTCCTGAGTTTGTGGCATCTGAAAATCATTAAAAAGATGATACTTAGTTATCTTTTTTTAGGATGAAAATTTTGATAATGACTCAATTGACCACAACGATCAGGACACTACTCTACAGGAAACAATAGATGATACGCTCACGGAAGATTTTGAGTTACAACAAACACAACGTACGAATGTTGGACATGAATCAAATATGGTACACGACAAGAATGTACGTCGGCAGGTTGTTGTAAATGAACAGAATGCTGCACGTCAACCCAATGTTGTACCTGACAGAAATATTGCACGTCAACCGAAAAGAAAGAAAGCCGAACCAGAAACTAAATCTGATCCTCGAATCGATGCCGCCTTAAATATAATACAAGGAATAAATCAACGTGATGCTTCTGACATATATGGCGAGCATGTCGCTATGAAAATGAAAAGTTACAACCATAGAACCCAGGCAATAGTACAGCATTTAATCAATGACATCTTATTTAATGCAGATATGGGGGTATATAATCACGAGAGTAATACAAGAAATATAAATGTTCAGCCCTCCCGTCTTCAACCCTTGGTCTCGCCACATGCATTTGCAACTGAATCTTCATCTTCACATACAAGTGCATCTACATCAAGAACATCCACACCACTGCCGGGATTTATATCAAGTTGCTCTCGTACAACAACATGCGTCGACACACAAAATGATATGCTACATCCTACTCCTACATCAATAATAACAGATTATGTTTCCAACTATGACCCATCCACACATTATCAATTATGATTTTTATACACATATTTGTACTTTTTTTACTTAACTGCTTACATGCATTAATAGCACTTAAATAAAATAAACAGTTTAAGTTAATCAGTGTGCTCACCTTTACGTAGTCGTCCAACGCTTCTATTACTGCTCCGCACACTTCTGGGATAATTCTGGAAATAAGTTGTCTTGAAACTCCAAAAAGGTACATCAAACTGCGATAGGAATCCCCAGTTGCCAAGAATCGAAGCGTTATGGCCAGCCTAACTTCCACAGGTATCGAACTTCTGTAATTTGTGTCTTTTTTACGTACACGTTCATCAACGAGTGAAGCTAAGGCATCAAAATCCTCGGGAGACATACGGCAAAAGTTATTAAATAACCCACTTCCATCATCCTGTCGTAGATCAATTAGCAGTTGTTTTGCATCTCTCGATTTCAAAAAACGAGGCACCCAAACTTTATGTTTTCTTTTTCTTTTCGTCTTTTCCTCTTCCACTAACACCGACATAATGAGTAGTGACGCGGAAGCACATGCAACTACTTGTATTGTTGCTGCCATTTTATTTAAGTCACAAATTCGCGTAAATCTACGGATCGACGACAAACTGTTTGCAAACGAGCAATTCGTCTGAGTTTGCTTTGTGGAGACAGGGGATGAAAACAATTGATTGCAAACGTTCGCAATCGTTCGCGAACGTTTGTGAACAATGCTTTTTTGGTGGAGTCGCACCTTAACAGATCGCGGGCGACCTGTATTTTGAATTTGTACGGTTGAACCGGTATTTTCAAACATCTGAATCAGGGTGTTTACAGTTTAAGAAATGTAAAATCAGCACCAGTTTGTCGCGTGTAATGTTGGTTGCCTACATGCATCTATTCCATACCGTGATACTAGTATCGGCTTTGTAGCTCGGTAGTTGGAGCGTTGGGCTGCAAAACCGATGGTCGGGTGTTCGAATCTGGGTTTAGGTAAGAATTTTCATCTGTGCAGAGATAGGAATTTCCCTAGATCAGTTTCGAGCATTCTGCCAGCTAGTCCGAACTTAAGACCTTCTGCGGGGGCACCTCTAAAAAGCATTATGCTGGTCACTCTCAGGGATGGCCAATTTTGCCCGAGCCGGTTAAAACCCCACGGTTTTAACCGGTTTCAACTGAAGGGAAAGCCCAGGTAAAACCCAGGTGGTTACAACAGAACTCAAATACCCACATTAAAGCCCAGCTCCGTTGAAAAAGATGCAGCAGAAAACCGAAAATTCAATTTTGAAGTCTGGCATCGGGTGGCTAAAAATAAAAGACACATAACACTGGCTTAGACTGGCTAGGCAGAAATTGGATTTATTGGGAATAAGAAAAGAATTAATTTGATTGTTTTTATTCAAATAAAGTATAACGGCAACGAAGAATAAATAAAGAACAAATATCATAGCTTTAAACTGCTTTTTAAATTCTGATTCCCAAATTCAAATAACTAAAGCTAAGTAATAAAGTAATAACAAATAAAATAATAATTTTTGTATTGTTCATGCCTATATCCCATAGTAATTGCGTTGCATCATCACTTTGTGATTGGGCGTAATCCTGTTGAGGGCCTAGAACAAGAGGGACAATAAACTGGCCAAGAATAAATAAATTAAATTGACCAGCTATTCATTCTGTCACTATGATGGACTACTTTAAACTAAGTCAAAGAATCAAAGTTAATTCGTTAAAAGAAATAATTACAAACAGTCCTAGAACGAAACGTAAACATCCTAAACCTATACCCAATACTGTACGTTAAGATCTAATTAGCATGAGATTAAAAGGAACGTTTGTTGTCTTAAGTTCTAATCGGAAAAGAACAGAAAATTGGAAAAGTAAGTGCTCTGTAAAATGATTTGCCGGTTCATATTTAACGAGCTTTCGCGAATCTTTTGTCAGGAAAACATTGCCTTGACTTCATGACCTAGTTCCATTGGATTAATATTTACACTAAATATGTGTGTACATTAAAATGTTACATTTACTGAAAATTGGTAATTGTGTAACTAAATTCGCTCCAACAAACATCTCGTAACCATAATGTTCAGTATGCTAAACGAATACATATTAAATTATGGTAATAGCGAAAACATTTATACGCACTTATTTGTTTTGGAACGCAATATAAATTCTTTCGATTACGAGATAACGTTTTTATCATCCTGCTATGTTTACAGAAAATCAGAATTTTTCAATTTTCATTTATTTCCATTATAAAATAATCTGATGGATACGCTAGCATTTCCGAATATACTCCCCATTTCATAATTTAACCAATATCGATTCCGTGAATGTTATTAGTTCAATTGTTCAAGTTTGTTGCTCAGCTTTGGTATGTGTTACCATGTGCAAACTATAAAAATAAAAGTTTGCCCGTAAATAAAAAAAAAATATTTATGCGAACATTTGGGTCTTAAGGTTTGGATTTAGAGAATATAGGCAACTGGTGATGCACATGTAATTCAATGGGGCGTGCATTGCCTCGGAACTTCATTCACCATTTCATAAGCAAGGGGTGTATATGATCGGAAAAATATGTATTAGGTAGATAGATGTACAGAGCATAGTTTCCATACAATATAAACTGATATTTTGTCCATTAATATATGTTTAAAAAATCTAGAAAACATGCGTCAAAAGAGTTCATAGTTTAGGAATTAAATGCAAAAATTAGGGAGCATTTTAAGCAATACGAGTGTATGGGATCGGTAGCGTGAATACTTATCTATATTTTGGCAATTCATGTGAAGCTCAAAAGTTTTCATAAAAAAAGTGGTGAATGAAGTTCTGAAAAATGGGCATGTAAACTGGAGAAATGGAAATAAACTACGCAGCTGTGACTAATATCGCGGTCAACAGTGTAGCTTCTTTCTCACAGAGGGTGCCACCAAAAGTTTTATGAAATCAGTAAAAAATACGATAAAGATATGAAATAGGTAAGCGCTTTTATCTTGCAATGGAGTTGTTCTTACTTTTTAACTAGGCTAGTACTAGTACTGTGTAATGGGGATAATAAAAGACCAAAAATTTACGAGCAAAAAAAAACTAGCAGGCTATGTAAGTTGCCTATGCTAAATCATTTAGCGATTCTCTTTCAAGGTTGAACAGAGCGTGCTTGTAATAGAATTTGCTGACAGCAAGAAAAAGATCGTTCACTGGTATATTTTTATTTTGTCAACTACTTGCTTCGAAATTTATTTGGTTTCTCTTTCCTATTCATTGCAAAAGATACCTCCTCTACCTATCGTTTTATGAAATAAATAATAGAAATGGGGATAGGTAACATTCCTTTACAACAAATATCAAAATTTTACGTTATTTTTAGAACAAAGGGCTGTTGTATATTGTTGTCGATGTCTGGCAAGCTGCGACCTTGTGTGGGTGTTTATTTGTAATGCGATTTGTTTGACCGTCTTCCTTATTCTTTATCTTTGCTTATTGCAGATTAAAATACCGTAATTTATAATCCATACCTTGTTGCAAATTAAATTTTTTGAACTTCAATAAAGCTCTTTATTCAATGATAGTACCTATTACATATTAGTATTAGTTTAGTCAGTTTAGTGTAATGTGTAATAAAATTGACGTATACAGGGTGATTCAAATTCGAAGGCCACCATGGGGATCTCGGGAACTGTAAGAGATAGGTAGAGGTAGTTTACATTTGACAAAGTTACCCTTGATGGTAACATCGTTGAGTGAACTTTATAAGAAGAAAAACTTTTAATAATAATAATAATAATATATCAATATATATAAGACAAACAAAGTGTATAGGACAAGTCAATTAAACACAAAAGACAAACATTTGACATTTAACATTTAACTGATGAAATCTTCCACAGAATAAAATAAATTTGCCAACAGGAAGATTTTGAGTTGCCGTGTGAAGGTATACAGTTTCGGCGCGTTTTTGATTTTGGACGGGAGTTTATTGAACATTTTTGCCCCTATTATATGTGTGCTGGCTTTGTTAATATTTGTTCTTGCAAACGGTATCCTGAGGTTACTTGTAGCTCTCGTTTCGTGTTCGTGTATGTCACAGTTACGTTTAAGGTTGTCTTTACGCAGGAATACAAATTTGCACACCTCGAGTATATAGAGGCACGATAGAGGTAAAATCCGTAGCAGGGTGAAAAGTGGTTTGCATGACTGTAGACTTTTTGCTCCGCACATGCATCTAATGATACGTTTTGATGAATTTTGATAGGCATAGTCCATATCTTAGCCTCGATTCGATGCAGCCGTAGTAGAACATTCGCAGTTGCTTGATATCAAGGTAGCAGCGTAGCGTAGGTAGCGTACTTGGTAGCACATGCTTTTTGACAAAAATGCATTCTCCATAAAAGCTTTGCTTGTTCTAATTCGAAATTTCCCTACCGTTTCAAAGAAAAATACAAAAAAAAAACGAAAATATGGTTGAACTTTTTCCAAGTCCTAAAAGTCAAAACGCGTCTCTACTGTAATAACATTTCGTTAGTTACAAAGTCTTCCTTACTTGTTAATTAAATAGGCACTAGGATCGTTATAAGCATAACAAACACACTTCGTAATGACATTGAATAAAAACCTCTTTATTCAATGGTAACAATGAAAAAGAATTGAATTTCCAAAGGTGTTTTTTAGAAATGTCGGCGCCCAATTTTACGACCTTAATTTTGAAAGTCCCCCATGCCAATAATTATAGCCCGGGAGCCAGTGACATTTTTTTGTCAGTCATCTAAACCCTGGCGATATTAATGTGGAGTGGTAAATTCAATTGTGCTCTTAAGCGTAGTGATCGTCAGCAGGCTCACCAGTGGTGGGTGGGCCAACGAAATTGACGAAAACACGTTAAAAAAAATTTGAGTTTTAGTCATTTTAATCCTGGTGAAATTTATAGAGATGATAGTTAAGAGTCTTCTTTACCCAAGCGCAACTTTTTTACATTATAGTATATAGATGATTATAGTTGCAAGATACAAGATGATATTTTTGCTTTGTCAACTCCTGTCTTGGTCCTTAGTTAGTTCCCGCCGAGACTAAGCAGCGGCGCCACTTGTTACACTGAAATTGTTGATTTACCGCCCGCCAAGATACAGACTTTATTTACAAAAAATATGATTTCATTTTTTGGGGTCATGTTTAGAATTAACTTATCTAAAAAACTGTCGGTTTACTTTTTCCAAAAATCGTCTTGATCGCGAGTAAAAAAATGAAACAGATTAGCGCAATAATCGGTGCAAAACAGCTAATCTTTAAAAAATCGATATTCAGTTGCTATACACTTTTTAAAAAAAATAGTCCGAACATTTTGTAAATAAAGGTCTAAATTTATAAAATAGTTCTTAAAAAAAACTTTTTTTCGATAAACAACTTGAGTTTTTATGGCGGGCGCTCTTATGGAAATTTACATTGGGTGCAGTGGGTACAGAAGACTCTTAATATAATTATTTAAATAAAAAAAGTCGTCAGCCGAGTGTATATTGGTGGAAAACCCGTCAGCTGATCAGGAAAAGTTGTAAAAAAATTTTCAACATTCAGTCATTTTAATCCTTC